ATGCAGCAGATGCCGCAATGGCCTCAACACCCCAACTTCCAGTTTCAGTATATGACAGCTGCGGCAGGTTTTCAACAGCAATTTAGTCCAGCAAATCAGAATTTGCAGTCAACTCAGGCAGTTCAGTGCAGTGGTGGAAGTTCTTCGGTGAGTGGGGGTGATCAGTCTCAAGCTGGTCACAACAAGAGCAAGAAAAAGAAAAATAAAAATCAGGGTGTTGCTATCCAGGCTCAGAGTGCTATGCGTGAAGATGATCCCCTTTTCACTATGGACCCAAAATATGTTGGAGCCATCTGTTATAACTGCGGACTCCCTGGACATTTTGTTGGCATGTGCGCAATCCCTAAAGTGTGCTTCATGTGCAAGACCCCTAGGCACCATATGGATGCTTGCCCCTCTTGGTACAAAGCATATCCTGCAGCTACTTATTGGGGGAGTGCTAGTCCTGGTCTTGGGTTTTTTCACATTGAAACTAGTGGTGCAGGGGATTGTGAGTGGCTCAATTTTGGCAATGTGGGACTTGTTCTTATTTAAAAGGGTAAAATTTTTGGAAAAGAGCTAGGTCAGCACTTCTCTGAGATGTGGAAGACCAACAGGCCCTCGCAGATAAGACCTTATGACAAAAACAAGTACATTGTTAGATTCCCTCCCAACAAAAAGATCAAGGACCTGGTAGAAATTCCTTCAATCAATCTAAAGAAGGAAGGGGTAACAATATCTTTTGTTGATTGGAATGGAGAACACCCTGTCTATGACAACCTGACTGAAACTTGGATTGTTATTGGAGGATTTCCACCTAAATGGCTATCTTGGTCAACTATTGCTCAAGTGGGCACAACACTTGGAGTGATCGTCAACATTGACTGGCATACTATTTTTAGAAGCTTTTATGAGAAAGTCAGGATCCTGGTAGCTGTCAGAGACCCTGTGAAGATCCCTAGAGACAGGATTGTAGAAATCAATCATGAGTTGTACCTGCTGAATTTTTCTGTGGAGAGGGATGTTGATATTGGGAACACCTCTGACAAGCCATCTGGACCTAATGATAATCCTGAAGATTCTAACAAAAAGAATTAGACAGAAGAGGAATTTGACTCTAGTAATGATGACCTTTTGGGGGAGGAGATGGATACTAGTACTAGCAACACCATTCACAAGGTTACTGCTGGTTCTAGAGGTACTAAATCTGTGCAACAATGTTGCACCCCTGTCCCTGAGAACAATATTGAAGATATTGTCTTCTCCAAAGTTCAAGGGGGGCCCATGACCAAAAGCTATCTGGAGGTTGTCAAAAAGAAGCCAATTGATAACTTGGGAGGTGCCCTACTGGAGAAATTTGAGGCTGCTATCACACAAGATCACTCTCTTCCTCAGAACATAGCTGATAAAAACAAACAGTGGGGCCATGTGGTTGCTACTAGGGCCAGCACTAGAAACAGGAAGGATGAGAGGCCTACTCTGCAAAAGGCCCAGGAACTAAAATGGATCGAGGTGCCAAACAAAGGTAAAAAAAGTTCTCAAAACTCTTTTGCTTATCTGGATGATGATGTTCTTATCTCCACTGCTGATTGCTCAGGTATTAATTTGAGCTCTAGTGGGTGCAATATTAATAAGAATATTGTTGTGATCAAGAACATTGAGCTTCGGAGACTTGATAAGTTTAATCAAGATAATCCTGAAGTTTTTCTTCCAGCAAACATACATGTATCTGGTGAAGAATTTAATTTTGTTTCCACAAATCCAGGGACTCAGTCTGAAACTGGTGCTAGCCCACATATGAATGTGGATCCAGAACTAGATTCCCCCTGGATTGAGGTCAAATATGCAAAATCTAGTAGTAGTAGGAGAAAACTTGATTTTATTATTAAATGATTGGTCTATTTTGGAACATTAGAGGCTTGAATGGGTCCATCAAATGTAACAAACTGAAGGAGCTTATTATAGCTCATAAGCCTGATTTTATTAGTATTTCAGAGTCTAAGAAAGAAGACTTTGCCCCCTCTTCAATTAGAAGTTTTTGACATTAGATCCTGTTACACTTGGAAATGGCTCCCTGCTAATAACACTGCTGGAGGCATCCTGGTAGGGATTAGGGGAGATCTTTTTGACATTGTTTGCTGTGACATACACACTTACAGTGTCTCTTGCTTGCTTCAAAACAAGCAAGATGGGACTTCCTGGAGACTGATCTCCATTTATGGTCCTGCTTATGATCAGTACAAACTAGATTTTATTAATGAAATGCACAACTTGCTTACTGGGTGGACTGGTCCAACTCTAGTAGGTGGGGATTTTAATTTGATTAGGGAGGCCAGTGAGAAAAACACTGGTCTGATCAACCAGCACTAGGCAGACATTTTCAATGACTGGATTAATAAATTTGATCTTCTTGAGCTAAAGATTAATGGCAGGAAATACACCTGGGGCAACAACCAAGACTCCTTGGTAATGGCCACTATAGATAGGGTTTTCATGTCCACTAACTGGGCAACATCGTTTCCTAATGTTCAGCTCAGAGCTCTTCCCAGGGTTGGAAGTGATCACACCCCTATGGTATTGAACACTTGTGCTTTCTCCACCCCTAAAGAGAAAGCTTTTAGATTTGAGAAATGGTTTCTTGAAGTAGAAGGCTTTAGGGAGGTAGTCCATAAAGCCTGGAATACTAAATGTTACTTTACCAAAGCCATTGATATTTGGCAGTTTAATATTAGAAATACCAGGAAAGCTATTAAAGGCTAGTGTGCCAATTTTGAGGTAGAGCAAAACAGGCAAAAACATGCCTTGGTGGCTGAATATAACTGCCTTGATATTATTGCTGAGTCTCATCCTCTCTCACCTAACTCTAAGCAGAGGATAAAAAATATTGCAGGTGAGCTGAATGATATCTGGAAAAAAGAAGAGATAAAAGCTAGACAGAGGTCCAGGGAGAGGGAGATCCTGGAAGGTGATCTCAACACTGGATACTTTAAAGCTATGGCAAGCCAAAAAAGGAGGAAGAAATAGATCTTGATGCTGTAAAATGATGAAGGTATTGTTACTGGCCCAGAAGATATTATGAGTACTGCTGTTAATTACTATAAAAAGTTATTTGGCTTCATGGATAAAATAGATATCACTTTGAAAGATGACTTTTGGAGTGAGAATGAATTAGTCTCAGAAGTTCATAACAATATTTTGGACGCTGCTTTTACTGAGAAGGAAATTAAGGATGCTGTATTCAGCTCATATGTTGAAGGAGCACCTGGCCCGGATGGATTTCCTTTTTTATTTTATCAACAATTCTGGGACCTTATTAAAGGCAACCTATTTGGTCTATTCCAGGATTGGGAGAAAGGAGAATTAGACCTGTATAGGCTTAATTTCTCCCTGCTAACCCTGGTTCCTAAAGAGGCTAAGGCAGTTAGAATGGAGAAATTTAGGCCTCTTGCCATGATTAATTGTAGTTTTAAAATCTTTGCAAAATGTGCCACAACCAAATTTGGCCCCATTTGCAATGATCTAATAGCTCCTAACCAGATAGCCTTTATTAAAGGGTGATTTATTGCTAATAGTATTATTGCTGCACATGAAATTATTCATTCTGTGCACTCTAGCAAGCAGTCTGGCTTCGTTTTTAAACTAGATTATGAGAAAGCCTGTGACATGATCAATAGAGAATTCATTATGGATATGATGAAGAGGAGGGGTTTTAGCAATAAGTGGATGGGTAAAGTGGAATCTCTCATTTTCAAAGGCTCTGTTGGTGTCAGAGTCAATGACAGCAACAGTGAGTTCTTTGTCCCTGGCAAGGGTGCCAGACAAGGAGATCCCTTTTCCCCCCTCCTTTTCAATCTAGTTGTTGATGTATTTACTATAATTTTAATTAAAGCCTCTATTAATAACAAAGTAGAAGGCCTTTTTCTTGTCACAAACCCTGCGGGCATCATTAGCATGCAATATGCAGACGACACTTTGCTCTTTTTGGGCAAAAACCTTTCTTTTGCTAAAAACCTTAAGTGGTTATTGTCTTGTTTTGAACAGTTATCAAGAATGAGGATCAATTTCCATAAATGTGATCTGGTTCCAATTAACATTGACCGTGAGGAAGCAAATTTGTTTGCTCAGGTCCTGGGGTGTAAACTTGGAGATTTCCCTATCAAATATTTAGGGGCCCCTCTTCATTATAATAAACTTAGAAAATAGGACTTACAACCCACTGTAGATAAAATTATTAAGAAGGGAGCCAGTTGGTGAGGGAGATTACTTTCCTCTGGTAAACGGCTTACCCTTGTCCAGTCTTGTTTATCTAGAATTCCCTGCTATCTTATGAGAATTATTAAATTCCCTAAGTGGGCCACTAATATGATAGACTCTCAACTTGCTCACTGCTTTTGGGATGACTATGGAGGTCATCATAAATACCACCTAGCTGCTTGGGGAAATATTGCCTTGAAGAAACAGTATGGTGGGCTGGGCATCCCTGACATTGCTGATATGAATCTCAGCCTGCTAGCTTCGTGGGCTAAGAGATATTTCAACGATGATGGTAAAATTTGGAAACAAATCATTGATGCCAAATATAAAACTTGCAAACCTAACATTTTTGCCTGCCCTGATATTGGAGCCTCCCCCCTTTGGAAAGGCATACTTTGGGCTATTAAAGCTGCAAAAATTGGCTTTTCCTGGAAGGTGGGTAATGGCAAGAGTGTTAGGTTTTGGGAAGACCGTTGGACTGGCAATTCTATACTTGCAACTAGTTTTTGGGAGTTGTATAATATTGCCAATACTACCAATGTCTCCATCAGTGAGGTGTGGGATGGCGTGACCCTGAAAATTAACTTTAGGAGATGTTTTTCGCCGGACATGCTTGCTGCTTGGAATGAGCTTTTCATTGTAGTCAAGGATCTGAGCTTAAATGATTGTGATGACACTATTATTTGGGATCTGGAGCCTAAGGGATATACACTGTTAAATCTTATTATAATTTTGTGAATTTTAGAGGAGTGACTCCAAATAATATTATGATGATCTGGAAAGCTAATGTTCCTCAGAGAATTCAGATATTTCTCTGGTTGCTTGTGAGAAACAAGCTACTCACCAGAGACAATCTTCTGAAAAGACAGCATGTAGCTGATACTACCTGCCTGTTCTGTAATGAAGCAGAATCGGTTAATCATCTTCTTTTTTATTGTGTGGTTGCGAGAGAACTCTGGAGAGAGATTTTTAGCCCCATAGGGAGCAACATTGAGCTTAACTCGCATGGGCTTCTGGATTGGTGGGCTAGAAATGACAACAAAACTGCAGATATTATGCTTCATGCAACTGCATTATGGACTCTCTAGAGATATCGTAACGATATTTGCTTTAATGTTGTGCCTTGGCTTGGGATGCAGGTTATGTGGCAAAAGGCAGCTTCCTTTTTAACCTTGTGGGAGATCAGGTGCGCGGATCCCGCCAAGAGGAGATGTCGTCTCCTGGTGCAAAGGATGGAACATTTGGCGCGAGCACCGCCTCTCCTCACCCTGGCTAGGACTGAACCAGTGCTGTGAAAGGACTCCTTGCTTCGGGGGTGGCTTCTCGCTATGAAGACATAGATTTATTAGCTGGTCGTGATTCTTAACCTCTAAATATGTATGCTGGTTGTAGCCCTTACTGGGTGTGGTCTTCGCTCTTTGTCTCTTTTGCTCCTTCAGGAGTGTAGACTGTGATTTTTTCATTTTGTTGGGGCAGCTTCTCTGATGTTTTTCCCCGCGCGCCTTGTAGCTCCAAAACCAAAGATGTTCGGTGGTTTCGTGGCATGCAATGGAACCGGGGTGTTGAGCCCTTTTCTTCTAAAAAAAATACTTATTAGAGAAATGGATGTATCTAAATGTATTTTAGTTTATTCATTTTTTTGACAAGTATTTTCCGACGGAGGGTGTACGTAACTAATTTCAAATACAAGATGCATATTGACTGCATATCACTCAACGATAATAGGAATTTAGAACCAATAACCTACTATGTACTACTTCCTCTGTTTCTAAATATATATTTTTTTAATTTCAAATGAACTACCACATACGGATGTATATAGACAAATTTTAAAGTGTAGATTCACTCAATTAGTATATCCATATACTAATTGTAGAGATCTCTAGAAAGATAAATATTTAGGAAGGAGTACTTTACACATATAAACCATGGCATGGCAGGTGCATTTCATGAGTTTCCGCAGGAGCTTTCCAGAACGTCATGCTGCTCACGCTGTGAGTGGCAATGGAGCGACGAGCACAGCCACGGGGCGACGGGGGCTAGTGCTGCTTTTCTGTTCAACATCTCGCAACAGTTTTTAGCTGGTTTTTCCTCAGATGTTGAACACACTTTTTCTGTGGGAAGAGCTGCCAGCACAAAACACATGGCACCAAATGAAAATGGTTGTGAACAGTTCGCAGTAGAGATGTCCAAAACTATCAATGACCCTGTCCTGTCTCATGTACAGACTGTAGAAAAAATCTTACAAAGGCACAACTCTACAACACACCGTGAACAGCCCGTGCTTTCCCTATACGCCACACAGTGTGTGATCACAGATTACCATCCGTCGGCAAGACATTCAGAGAGGTTTTACAGGTGAGCAAAAGAACCAGCTTGGACCCTGAAGAGAAGTCAGTACTGTGATGCTACATCGTCAGCGAATCAGGAAGCGAGGTCGGAGCGCCGCAGATCTTGCCACCAACGTCGGGGAAGCATTCTTGGTCGGGCAGCGGGACGATCTTACCATCGGACTCTACCTTCACTGGGTATCTGAGGAGGTGCCCTTGCAACGTTTTCATCTCTTCTGATGCGAATCTTTCCCAGTTTTCTTCGGCTATTTGGTTCACTAATCTTACACATTCCAGACTAGAAGGTTCCTTGAAGTGGTCATCAACCATACCAAGGTGTTCTGCCCAGAGGGAGTTCCTATACCCATATACCTGCAACCAAGACAAAGGTTACAACATTTCTAACGAAGCCTCTGCTGTTAACCAGTAAAAAAGAAGCTGGAGGAGAAAGCCAGTCCACGAACCTGGCCGTGAGGATGACCCTTCTTCGAAGACCATGCATGATGAGGCTGGTAGGCACCCATTGCAATTTCGGTATCTCTCGAGCCAGCCAAGGATCTCTGATTGATGTTTGCCGAGCCCAAAATGACGTATTCATCGTCTACAATCATCCCTTTTGCATGAACATAGATCATGAACCGCCGATGTTTTCTAGCCAGGCCCTATCAATTTTCAAAGGGGGGATTAAAATAACTGTGTTAATTCATATTAAACTTTTAGGAAAGGAAAAGCTGGAACAATGCTCATGATGAGTAAATTATGTTTGCCAACTCTTCGGTCGTATATACACCATGTTACTCATAAAGAAAAAAGCATTCCTTGCACCAATTTAAGAGGGGGGGGGGGTGCTATAAATTACAACGATCAAGGATAGAAACAAAAGAAAACGTCAATCAATGTAACAGTAATTGCTTCAGGCTTTTGAACGGCATTGACAAACATAAAGATCCTACCACACCAACAGTTGGCTAAACCAACATTTTGGTAACCTAAGGTAAGAAAGCAACTTTCCAAACCAATGATGCCTCAGCATTTCTCTAGCAAGCTATCTGTATGTTTTGACATCCACTAGAACTTTAGCCAAATGTCCACTAGAGTACTAGACAAGCAAGGCTTAAAACTGATGATACTACGTACCAACTTCAGAAAATATTCTTTCTATGAAGGAATGAAGAATACAACAAGACATTACCGCTGCACTTTTATCTGTAGATTTATCTGACTCAGGGCTACCATCTGTTGACGGTTCTTCCCGATTGCCCAGACAGTAAAAGTTCAAGTAATCTTGAAGGTTTGCATCCTCAATATTCATGGCCTTGAGCTCTCGTGCGATTACTCCATACATCATCTCCATTGTCTGAGCCTGTGAGAAAAGAACAAACAATTAGTATTTTTAATTTATTCAAGCCTACAAGTGAGTTGTCTTTTTATGGGGAAGCCTACAAGTGAACTGTGTCACACTATACTGTATATCCTCTCTTGCAGAATCAAGCCTATCAAGTATCAACAGCCGTCAGGCAGAAAACTATGAGTGTAGATTATGGATTTTGATGAATCATGGGTGAAGTGATCCCAGCAGGAGAACATAGGAGTGGTGGAAGGGCCTATGGGATACTTCACATGCTAATTTGTGAAAAGCATCCGAAGCTTGTCATTGTAAGCTCGGTTGCTTTTGAACTTTGGTCTTCCTTATTTTAGCGGATGCTTAGTTCTGTGGCTGCTTTTTAGTAGTAAGATCTTGAGACATCCCATGATACGGCCTGTGTATCAGGGATGTAGGGATAGTGTTAAGCATAGGATTGTACAGGACACCACTTTTGTAATGAAAATGGGGACCATGAGAACCCTTTAATAATAGAAAAAAAACATCCGAAGCCTGTGCACTGTTGTAACCCCTGGTTCTATATCGAACTTCGTAATTCAACATACATGCATGTAAAAGTAAAATTTATTGTATCATCTTCATTAGATTTTTCAGAGCTATTCCCTGCCTTCAGTGGCATGGACAATTAAAGGTTTACAAAAGGGGCAAATCGGAAGATCTCTTTATAATATCGTAGGCATGTATGGGATAATCATCATTCGCATACAATCAGAATTGCACTACCGCAGATTTTACAGCAATAACGACATTACATACTACATTGCCTCTATGAAATTTTACTGCTGCTGAGCAAAAAGGATCACCAAGGTAACATTTGATAGTGAGAGATTGTTTTTACCAAAACGAAGATGAGAATAGAATAGCGCTGAACTAAACAAAGGGGGGTGGTCATAAAGTAGAGTAATATTGTATTAAAACAAAACAAAAACAGCATACACATCAGGGGCAGGGAGTATGCCAACGTGCACTCAAATGGAAATTCATTCATTGGTAAAAGATTGAAATTACAAGGTCGAATGAGATCTCCATATCTCACTGAATCTCAGATTGGAATTTCAGTATCTCAATAAATCTCAGATTTGGAGTTTCCTAATAGCTGCTATAATGCTTTTTTACAAAATAGAGCTTACCTGAAAGAAAAGAATTTCTTGCACAGAGGCCGAGGTAGGGACTCCTTCAGGCCACATTGGTATGACTACATAAACTGCAAACCGTTCGCCAGCTCTAATCTTGGTTGCAATTTTGAGGGCCAATTCCATTGGTATCAGATTGTCAGCACCTGCAACATCCCAAGGGATCAAAATTCCAGTTTGTCTAGATCATGTCATAAAATTAAACATCAATGTTGAATTTACACAACAGACCGACAGCAACAAAGGCATCAATGAAACAAAAAGAATGTGGCTTGTCTAATAGAAGCAGGACGAGCAAAATGAATCCATATTCCCCCTGCAATGTAGCCTATCTAATAAAAGTATGAAGAGCAAACTAAATCTATGTTCTCCCTGCATTATGTGGTGCATGTTTTGCCTTGTTCTACCAGCAGAAGAATATGCATGCAACTGTGGAAGGTATGCTATACCTAACAATCAAATATTCCATGTTTCAGACAGGATACAAAGGAAGAACCCCAAACCTGAATTCACATAGGATGGCCACTCGTACGAAGAACCAAGAAAATACTGATTTTCTATATAAATGAAATGTTGCGCTGATCTGATTGCCCGGACATATGCTGTGTGAATGCTCTTATCAATTATGAGGTTCTTTCGGCACACAAGATTCTGCACAAGTCCATTAAATGGTAAGTACTTTATACAAGAAGAACGTAGTTCCAAATAGTACAGGACAAGGTAAAAATGGAAAAAAAGTGAAACAGCACCACAAATTTCAATATAGATGTGGATTTATTGAACATTGCAAAGGAGTATAATGAGACGTGCCAAACTAACCTGCTTTGAAGCCTCTTTGCAATCACTAGGAAATCCTTTTAGAGAGCCCGAGTCAATTGACCGGAATACCTGAAGAATTAATATATGTTAACCAGTGCCTAGAATTCACAAGTACTGACATAAGCACAACTTAAAGAGCAGTGCCAAGACCTGAACATGCCAATTTTCAGGATCTTCTTCTTTTGAAACCCGCAAACTAACATGATCATTTGGAACATTAGGTGAAGGACTAAGTATCCACGAGATACGCTCCAGCTTTATCAGGGCATCATCTTTCCAGCGAGATACTTTCCTAAATCGATCACGGAATTTGGATGCCTTTCTCCAGCGTTGTTCAAAATTCTTCAAGACATCATAGGCAGCTGGTCCATCAATCTTACAGTGCAAATCATGCCATGGTTGTCTCGGTCCTTTTGCGCCTGCCTGCATCAAGGGAATACATATGATGACAGGAAGATTAAAACTCAATGAGAATAATGTGGTGCAAGATAAGCTCTGGCAGTCAGGCATTCACACATGGCACCGGCTCCCAGAAGCTTACTTCCTCGACTTCAACTTGATAAGCATAGAGTAAAACATATTGGCAAAAATGAACTCACCGAAAATGTTGGGTTATGGAAATCATTTTCAAATACTGTGTCAAGGTCTTTAAAAAGCCTATGTTGAGGAGTATCATAACGCCCATCACAAAGATCTAGGCCCCCAACGAAAGCAGTAACTTTCCGCTTGTTTCCCGAAGCTTGTGTATCAACCAGCACACATTTTTGGTGGTGTGTAAACAATGTCCCAACAACCTGCAAGATAGTAGTTCAAGATTGCCAAATGTGGCAAAAAAGAGAGCATATGAGTAGCCTGCAGAATACAAAAGATATTCACAAGACTGAGATGATGCTTATTCTGAAAGCAACATGACGGTGACCTCCTGATTTTATTTATATATATATAAAGCTAACTGCCAACTTAGTTGGTATCATTCACTATCCATAAGGCACCAACACACACATCATGATTTTAGAGAACATTCAAATTCTCCTAAAAGAGGATGCATGAGTAAATATTAACCTGCTTAAGGTTTATGATGATAGCAATTACTTGCAGCCTATCGACAAAAGAAATAAAATACAAATAAAGTACAAGCAAACTGCCTGAACTTGCCTGTTGTTTGAAAATGCTCAGCTTACTGCTGGCATATCGAGGTGAAAGAACACAGATGACTGAGGAATGCTTGAAAAACTTTCTAGTTTCTTCATCATGCGTTCCCATCACACCACCCTGCAAAAGCATAGAAAGGAGGAGTTACTCTCAGATATTATGACATAGAACCCCTTTAAAGAACAGCACTATCAAAAGGAAGAGCAAGTGTGAATTATGATGGGGATCATAAACTGTGCGGTGTGCACCCTTTTATGAATGAAAATGCGGGCCATGTGGCCCCTTTAATCAAAAAAATAAACTGTGCATACTAATTAGTAGATTTGGAGAACACGGCCGAGGTGTGAGTTTGGAAAAGACGTATGGTCATAGATTATGGTAAACTGGAATCAGAGAGAACACCCCCAGGCCAAATATCCAGGTTCAGGTTTTTTTGGATAAGAATATCCAGGTTCAGTTGATTGTTGCAAGTCTATAACAGTCATCGATTGATTGTTTACCCTCTATTATATTCCTACGAATATGGAAATTACCTATGAACAAGTAACCTCTCAAAAAACTTATGAACAAGTACTACTTGACTGAACACTCAAATGCACCAAGCTGGGGAATAATAAATCCCTATTATGGAACAAAATCCAAAGAATTCCTCGCAATCAAGTCAACATCAAATGCATCTGGGGACGTTTCCGACGGCTATCCAAACTAAGCTGTGAAATTAGAGTCAGAACTACCAGGTCGTAATGTCTCACCGTTTTGATGAAGAGCTTGTCATGGGACGTCTTGTCGTCCCAGACGAGCAGGCACACTCTGACGCCCTCCTGCGACTTGAACTTGAGCAGCTCTCCGAGCGTGAGCTCGCCGCCGTCCGGGAGCGGCCTGGACGACGACGGCTCGCGCACCAGCTTCACCTTGTCGTAGATCGACCAGCCGACGATGTAAATCATATGGTGCGCCTCGAGTATGGCGTGGCAGATGTCCTCCCAGCACTGGTTGTGCTCGAACTTCTTCCCCCGCTCGAGCTCGACGTCCGGCAGGTCCCCCTCGTTGACGTGCGCGTCCTGGTAGAGCGTGACTTTCCCGCCGTGGCGGAGCGGGAAGTAGGAGTCCTTGACGCCCTGCTGGTCGGGGTCGCCGGGGATGCCGCGGCGGTAGACCGGGTTGGCGGCGAAGGGGCGGAAGCGGTAGCGGATGAAGAGCGCGGTGCGGGGCTTGTAGGTCTTGCCGCTGGTGCCGACGATGGGGACCCACTCCTCGAGCTCGTCGGCGGCGGCGACGACCCGGTCGGCGGGGACGGAGGCGGTGCCGATGAGCTGCGCGCCGAAGGTGTCGTTGTCCTTGACCTGGAACTCGAGGACGGTGGCGCGGTGCGCGAGCGGCACGAAGAACTGCTCGTCCCAGCGCGGCTCCTGGCTGTTGGGGATGACGGCGGTGCGCGCGACGACGGCGCCGGCGACGGAGAGCGTGACGTAGGGGTCGCTGGTGATGATCCTGCGGTGGTGGTGGCGGCGGCTGCCGGCCTCCCCGACGCCGCGGCTGTTGGGCGGGGGCTGCCGGGGCGCGCAGGAGGAGGCGGTGCCGCAGGAGGCGAAGCAGCGGCGGATGTGCTCGGAGAACATGTCCATGTTGGGCAGCAGCCGCGCCTCGACGACCCAGAGGTCGAGGTCCCCGTGCAGGAGCACGGGCTTGGCCGGCGACGGCGACTCGTCCCCGCCCGACGACGCCATGGACGGCGACGCGGAGCGGGGGGCGGTGGCGGCGGCGGCGGCCAGCTTGGAATCGGAGCCGGGCCCCCGGTCCCGCCTGTTGCGCAACCGCGGCGACGGCCCCCAGGTACCCGGCGGGGATTCCGGTGGGGGAGGCCGGGCCCGGGTCCCAGGTCCGCGCGCGCGTGGTCGGGGTCGGGTTGGGTGGGGATCTGCGTTGCGTGCGGGCAGGTTCAGGTCGGCCGAGTCCGCGTGATCTGGATCCCCTGCGCTGCGGGATGGACTCTCTCTCGGGTCCTCCTTCTCTCTAGAGCGGGTGGGTGGTTGGTGATGAGGTGGCCGGTGGGCGGCGGGGCACGTCGCGGGCGTGTGCGTGGATCGGTGATGTTGATGGCGTACGCGTCGGGTCGCGTGCCGCCGCGCTGAGCGGAGCGGGAGTGGGTCAAAACTCAAAACTAGGCAGGCGAGGTGGCCTCCCCCTGCGCTGGACGCGCCCACGGAACGGAAGGCCGAGCTGGCGGAGGTAGGGGGCGTACGGCCGTTTTGGCGCCGGGAGTCGCTCGGTGGCGGGCGGTCTGTCTGTCGGCTTCCGCTCCCCCACCCCAAATCCAACTTCTCCAACGCTCCCCGACTCTCTTTTTTTTCTTTTTCTTTTGGAGGATAAACGCTCCCCGACTCGGTGGTAGCCTGGTAGGGTCCGGCCGTTTTGGCGCCACTATAGTACTACTCCGGCCGTTTGGTGCGTGGGTGTTTGTTACAGCCGGGTTCGGGAGTTACTTTCTTTCTGGGGTCGTTTCTGTAGGATATAGGCGCCGTTTCCATTTTAGATTTTAGAGACGGGGTTTGTTTGGTGCCATTTTTGGGAGTTCTTGCCGGCATACAAAATGATCGCGCCCCGACCATAGCTCATCTATCTACCTCGAGCATCTCCTTTTGTATCTTCTCGAATCAAACCCTTTTTCTTGGAACACCTTGGTCAAGTCGACTGTCATGATCTTCCTTTCCTTCGCCATTACCGCGAGTGCCACCTCTTTTGCTTTTGTCTTTACAATGCTTGCCTCAATCTCGAGCTTCTTCTTTTGTATCTCGATGTAGGCCTTTCATTTGATCCTCCTTGTCTTGCCGCTTCCTTTTCTCCCTCGCTTTCTTTTGGGTCAGGAACCCCTTCAAAATTTCTTGCAAGACTAATGTGGCCACATCATGCTTGTCATCCACCTTCGAGTTGGTCTTCCCCCTTGGCCGCCTCTCACCTTCACCATGCTCAACGACCGTCTCCCGCCCTCCATTCCTCTTTTGGACGACATATTTCTCCTTAAACTTAGGGTAATCACAAATGACCGTCCAACAATGGGTGAGGATGAATGGTTTGTCCCCATGTTGGGCATTGAAGACTTCCAAAGCTTGGAATGCCTACTATTCAAAATGATGACAACACTATACATTCATATCACGCTCGGCATAAAATCCGGAACCCGAACCCTGAACCCAAAAATTTCGAACCCGCATAACCCGAACACTATATCGAGGTAACAGATCTGAAAACCCGAATTAATACGGGTAATTCAGGCCAAAGGTCATGGTACCCGAATTATCCGAATAGCTCGAACTAATTAGTCAGCTCAGTAAACACATGCCGCACACTTGCGCAAAGAAGACCTAGCCCAAGAGGCCTTCGTTAGCCCTTGGCTCCCGCGAGCAAACCTAGGTCACGTGCGTCCCCAACTCCTCCAAATCCGAGCGCCCCCTACACAGTTCCTAGTCCCCACCCCATGTCGGCACGCCCCCATGGCGCCACCCCACCCCACGATGCCACCACACTAGCACCGGCATACTGCGGTCCGCCGTCGATCTGCATCTGCGCCACCATGACAAGCAAGCTTGGAGGCTGCGTTCAGTGGGACGACGGTGTTGGGCCACTCGCCATCATCCATCTCAACTCACCTTCACCGACAGCACCTCCCCGGCGCAACATCACTTGCCCGTCGTCCTGCATGACGTGACTCCCAATGATTGTCGTTCCCCTCTCGTTCCACTGTTGCATGTCCAAATCGCCGCCTACAGTCTTGCACCGCCGACGCCAGCCACCAAACTATAGTCCATGTTGTTCCACTGTTGCTGGCACTTTTCTTCATTGTTTACTACTTCGGGTAGTACGAGTGCTACGGTTTCGGGTACACGAATTTTCGGGTAGCAAATTTTCTGCACAAATTTTGGGTATCATTTCTGGAAACCCGAAAAAAAATTACCCAAATTACTCGACCCGATTTTGCGGGTAAACCCAAACGCCCAGCGCGACATCCATATGTAACGGAGTTGAAAGCATCAATCAACAAGATACACACATAAGAACAAAAGGATAGGAGTGGAGTACCATGTCTTTGATGCATATGCCACTCACGGACGGCCTTTGCTGCTCTCAAGGGTTGCACAACACTTGGTTCACTCTTGTTGGGTGAGCCCCCGCCTCTTTGCGATTGACACATCACCACGCTTGCTCTCAAACTAGGGCGGGAACTTCCTACGTTCATGGAAGTATGCATGGACCCTCGCCCAAAACTTGATCCTTTTTGCTCGACACCGGCCTTGGGGTATTGTCCAATTTCCTTCCAAGCCTCGCAAATCAATTTGTCATTATCCTTGGTGTATGCTCCCACCCGAATGTTTTTCCGCCTCGGATGTGCATTGCCTTATTGAGTGAGCTCATCGTGAAACATGTTGGAAATATGCCCTAGAGGCAATAATAAAATGATTATTATTATATTTTCTTAATCATGATAAAGGTTCATTATTCATGCTATAATTGTATTGATCGAAAACTTAAATACATGTGTGAATACATAAACAAATATCAAGTCCCTAGTAAGCCTCTCCTAGACTAGCTTGTTGATCAAAAGACGGTTAAGGTTTCCTAACCATAGACATGAAAATTGTTGTTTGATAACGGGATCACGTCATTAGGAGAATGATGTGATGGAAAAGACCCATATGTTAGCATAGCATATGATCGTTCAGTTTATTGCTACTGCTTTCTTAATGTCAAATACATGTTCCTTTCACCATGAGATCATGCAACTTCCGGACTCCAGAGGAATGCCTTGTGTGTATCAAACGTCACTTCATAACTGGGTGATCGTAAAGGTGCTCTAAAGGTATCTCTGAAGGTGTCTGTTGAGTTGGCATGAATCGAGATTGGGATTGCTGTGTGGCCTTGGCAACGAGGGCCTCATTTTCCGCAACGTAATGGTGACATGTTGCGCGGTGCTACCTCTTGAGCTTGCATTGGTTTTTCCCTTGAAGAGGAAAGGGTGATGCAGCAAAGTAGAGTAAGTATTTACCTCGGTTTTGAGAACCAAGGTATCAATCTAGTAGGAGACAACGCAACAAGCCACCGAATATCTGCACAAACAAACACCAACTTGCACCCAACGCGACAAAGGGGTTGTCAATCCCTTCACGGTTATTTGCAAAGTGAGATCTGATATAGATGGATAAACGGTAAAGTAATATTTTTATATTTTTGGTTTATAGATCGGAAAGTAAAAGATTGCAAAGAAAGTAAATAGGAAACTAAAATTTTAGATCGGAAACTTATATGATGGAAAATAGAAGATTACATGATGGGAAATAGACCCGGGGGCCACAGGTTTCACTAGAGGCTTCTCTCAAGATAGAAAATATTATGGTGGGTGAACAAATTACTGTCGAGCAATTGATAGAAAAGTGCAAAGTTATGACGATATCTAAGCCAATGATCATAAATATAGGCATCACATCCGTGTCAAGTAGACCGAAACGATCCTGCGTCTACTACTATTTCTCCACACATCGACCGACTCCTACCTCCATCTAGAGTATTAAGTTCATAAGAACAAAGTAACGCATTAAGTAAGATGACATGATGTAGCGAAATTAACTCAAGCAATATGATGAAAACCCCATCTTGTTATCCTCGATGGCAACAATACAATACGTGTCGGTTCCCCTTCTGTCACTAGGATCGAGCACCGCAAGATTGAACCCAAAGCTAAGCACTTCTCCCATTGCAAGAAAAACCAATCTAGTTGACCAAATCAAATCGATAGTTCGAAGAGACTTGCAAAGATATCAAATCATGCACATAAGAATTCATAGGAAATTCAAATAATATTCATAAATAAGTTGATCATAAATCCACAATTCATCGGATCTCGGCAAACACACCGCAAAAAAAGTATTACATCGAATAAATCTCCAAGAACATCGAGGAGAACATGGTATTGAGAATCAAAGAGAGAGAATAAGACATCTAGCTACTAGCTATGGACCCGTAGGTCTGTGGTAAACTACTCACGCTTCATAGGAGAGGCAATGGTGTTGATGTAGAAGCCCTCCATGATCGAATCCCCCTCCGGCAAAACGCCGGAAAAGGCCGCTAGATGGGATCTCATGGGTACAGAAGGTTACGGCGGTGGAAAAGTGGTTTCGTGGCTCCCCTAGAAGGTTTTGGGGTATTTGAGAATATATATAGGTGGAAGAAATATGTGGGTGAAGTCACAAGGGGCCCACAAGGGTGGGGAGCGCGCCCTACCCTCCTGGGCGCGCCCTCCGCCCTTGTGTCTGCCTCGTGGCTCCCCTGACGTGCACGCCAAGTCCTCTGGATGTCTTTTGGTCCAAGAAAAATCATCGCGAAAGTTTCATTCCGTTTGGACTCCGTTTGGTATTCCTTTTCTGCAAAACTCTAAAACAAGGAAAAACAGAAATTGGCACTGGGCTCTAGGTTAATAGGTTAGTCCCAAAAATCATATAAAATAGCATATTAATGCATATAAAACATCCTAAATCGATAATATAATAGCATGGAACAATAAAAAATTATAGATACGTTGGAGACGTATCACGCGACAGCGGCTTGTTTTCTCCACCTCTTTCGCCCTCCGGTCAACCCTCTTCGATGTCTCCTTGGCCGTCTCCTCCGGCATGCGTTCCTTCTTGGGCATCTTCTTTGCGTGCACGGATCCGACGCCCACTACGTCAACCGCGGC